TGACAACCTTTGCCGGAACCGTCCAGGAGATAAGAACATGGTGAGTTTGGTTTACAGGGTCCTCCCTCACTTGATCTCCGAGCCACAGCAAGGCTTGACAAAGTCTGGAAACTTGTTTCTTAAGGCTGCTGAGGAATGCTTGCTGGTTCATCCCTTCACCAGGCCACATGGCAGTGCCCTTCCTTCCTCATTGCCTTGGCCGGAGCTCTTACTCTCTCAGTGCTCAGCAACATATGCCCTGAGCCTCCAAGCCGGACAGAATGGAACAGACAATATACTTTGGCCACTCTGCAAAACTAAGAGTTTTTATAGAAAAGCAAATATTGTCCCTTGTCTCAACGTTGCAACTTTAATAACCTTTTCAAAGATTGAGAGTTATGTTGGAGAAAAGCCAGGGGAGGCAAAGGTTCCATGCCAAAATAAAGGGAAGTTTGCGAAAATGTTTTAGGTTCTAGAAATCAGGGGTGTAGGAATAACAGGGACAGGGGGGTTGCATAATATTTTCCATATAAATATTTACTGACTCCAAGGGCAATAGCAGTAAAATCTCACCCCAGGGTGAGACTTACCACTGAGACTGGGTGGACAGTCGGTGGACCTGTATTTATCCTAAGGCAAATGCACTTGATGTATTAGCCTGGGATCTCCAAGAGGGAGGGGGGTTGTATGCTTATTTGCTCTTGTGAGGTTGTTCCTCCTGTCCTGTCCTGCTGCATGGCTGATATTTTCCCAGAGTTTGCCTTTTCCAGGAGAGATCCAGCAGTTTGGAGAAACACGCAGGGTTACGTAACGGCCCCATAAGTCTGAAGACAGCCTTCTGCTCTGTCAGGAGTCAGCGTCTCATGGGAGGGAATGTAGGAGCAGCAGGCATGAGTGACGCGTTTTCACAACAACCTGCTACTCATTTCTTGAATTTATATACATCATATACATGGACATATATACATGTGCACGTGCGCATGCACACACATGTACACTCACACACGTGCACAGCTTCTCAGCTGATAAGACACTGTTACCCCCCAGCCAGGATAAAAACAGTCCCATCTCCAGTCCTTGGGACCGTGATTGACTTTTCTAGTCACATATGTTTGAAAGGTAATCAGGCTGAAGACATTCCCAATAACATTGACAAGTTTAAGCCGAATCGTTTTAAGAATGAAACGGGCACTTCCTAAAGAATTAGATATATCATCACATTGCCAGCAAAACACTGTGTGTGCACGCGTGTGTGTAGCTTGTGACTTTTCTCATGGCCAAGGCTACAGAAATTTAGATATGATCAATGAGAGTCTAATTGATAAGCTTCCAGTGAAAATAGTGTTGGCGCCTCATGATTTGTTCCGAGTACAGACTGCTGAGAGGTCTGGTATAGAGGGGTGGGGGGGATGAAAATGATGCAAACCCATGGAACCAGCTATTTAAGCTCGCAGATGAGTGGAGTGTGATCTGATGGGGAAGCTGGCCCTGGGGGCCTTTGCAGACTAGAGGCTCCGATATGGTTACAGCAAATGAGAGTTCAGCTCCTGTTTGACAGAGGAAAGAAAAAAGGAAGGGAAGGAAGGGAAGAGAGAGGGAGAGAGAGAGACATACTTCCTTCAAATTGCACAGGAAGTTGAAATTCCAAATCACAAGAAGACATCTAGTACCAGTGAAAACAGTCGATAGGTTCAACATTTGCAAGATGAACTTCTCCCAAGTAAAACGAAAACACAGAAAGAAAAGCTGGAAAAGACTGAGGCCATTGGCATCTTTGGAGATAGAAATTAATTAATATTACCCATAGAAAGAGCTATCTATCTATCTATCTATCTATCTATCTATCTATCTCTGTCTATCTATATCTATCATCTATCTATCTCATCTGTCTGTCTATCATCTATCTATCATCTATCATCTATCATCTATCTTGTCTATCTATCTATCTATCATCTATCTTGTCTGTCTATCATCTATCTTGTCTGTCTATCATCTATCTATCTATCTATCTATCTATCTATCTATCATCTGTCTGTCTATCATCTATCCTTTCTTCTACTGTTTTCACTTTAATTGCTTTTTTTAACCTCTTGACATAGAAACTAGGTTGTTAAAGTCAATCTTTATTCTTCAAATGTGTGTGTAAGGCTATTGATTTTTTACTAATCAGTTTTAGCTGTATCCTACAAGTTTTGACATATGATTTTTTTTGTTAATATGTAGTTTAAAATACTGACTACAATTCCTTCTATTAATATTTTTATATATAATTTTCCAGACATTTTTCTCATGTGAATTCATACATGCTCCTTGGTAATTTAGAAAATTATTGCATAGTTTCAAAATATTTAGGTCTTGTCTAGCTCACTTCCAGTTTGATCAGAAAGCTTACTTTATTAGCGACCTCGGGCTGTAAGAACAAAGTACTATTGTGAGGGTGACCTTAACAATAGAACTTTCTTGTCCCTTTGTCTGGAAAGGGAAAGGTGAGAGCCCTGTAGAGTCTGGTTTATGGACAGCAGGCTCTGCCTGGCCTTTTGACCCCATATTCCTCTGTGTGTCTGCAGATGGTGAGGACAGAGCAAAGAGCTACCTTGTGACCACTCTCACCCTAATTCTGAAAGCCCTCATCCCAGACACCATCCTATTACAAGACAGCACTTCAACATGTAAATCTTGATGGAACACAAATAACTTAACTAAGATGTTTCTATGCAGTTGGGATTTTTGCTTTTATGCAGGACTTAGAATATATATTCAAGTGTAGGAGTCTTTTCTTTCTATATGAATCTTTGTGCTCAAGTTTTTGCCAGCTTCATAGTATCTCTTAAAATATCCCAATTCTATTTTTTACTTTGGAAAATTAGCCATCAAATGGGATTCACATACTCCTTGAAACTTCGTGGGAATCCTGTGGCTAAAGTGTCTAGTCCTTTTCTTTAAGGGACAGCTTTCTGTTTCCTAGGAACTTATTTCAAAGATATTTCCCAAATAAATCATTAACTGGAAATCCCTTTTACCTATACCTAGCAGCTCATGTTAATGTGCCTTATGTTCGTCAACTTCCTGACACTTTAACAAACACTGCAGGCAACTGCCTTGCTGAAAGGAGACCTTTGTTTTGCTTCCCGGTCTGGAAGGTGTCGGTCCTCCACTGATGGGCGCCATTGCTTTGGGCCCAAGGGGGCTCAGTGCATCATGCTAGGACTCTATGATAGAAGAAGCCCATCACCTCATGGCAGCAAAAGAAAGAAAGGGCAAGGGGCTGGAGTCCCACCACCCTAAGGACATAAAAGCATGTCCTAAGACATGCCCCCAGTGACCTAAAGCTTCCCTCTGGACCCCACCCCTTGAAGGTTCCACAACCTGTTAATAGAACCAAGCTGGAGACCAAATCTTTAACACATGGACATTCCAGCCTGCTTCTTATTCTACCGTCACGCTTGGATCGTTAGTTCTTCACTAGCAAACCTCCTTTCATAAATAACATGTTTGTTCTTTGTAGCATGTCAAGAGTACTATTGAGCTTTGTTTCATTTTCCCCATACAAAAGTAAGCATGTTTAGTATAGAAAATTAGAAATAGGAAAATTGAAAATTACTTTTAAATATATATGGTTTTCGAGTGAACTTGTTCTCTGGTAGTGAATGCCTATATAATGAGTGAAAGTAATAAAAGTCAGAAAAATACTAAAAAGAGAAATTCTGTTACTCAGACATCAATGGTTATATCTTATCTGGTGTGTGAGAGACTTTTGTTTCACACACACACACACACACAATCAATGTACTGTGTGTAATTACTCTGTGTCCACTTTAGTAGTGACTAGCAATGCTGTGTATCACAGGCTTTTCCCTAAATGCTTAAACCTTTATGATCTTCTTTCACTTTGTGAAGTTCATTATTTTTATTTTTTATTTTTGCCTTACAAACACCCTGGAGCCAGCATCTATTTTAACATACGTCTTAAGCATTTTAAAAATTGCTTGCTCCTGACGTATCTCTTTGGTAACCAGTTAAGAATTCATGTTCCCTAAAAATCAAATGTCCACAAGTAAAATAACCATGACCTACAACATTTCACTAATCAGGTGGGCAAAGACTTTTAAAAATGGTATTCCCCAGCACTTCAGGAAATGGGACGTGGAAGCTTCGGGCGGGCGGGGGTGCACTTCGTTGAGTGACTTGGAAATATGGATCTATTGCAGCTGCTGTAGTTTTTCATTTTTCCAGCTGTTTCACAAGGAAACTTGATTTTTTCCAAGATCTTATCAGAAAGGAATCACAGTCTACACGTGCTGCAAATCCAATCCCAACATTTAAGGAATTTTTCTCAAGGATATTGCAAATAAGGAGTCCAGGTGCCCCGAGGATTTCCTGAGACGTGTTTGCAAGCATTTCAAACCTCTTTTGGCAGCCCTATAAATCATCATTGCCTTGGGACTCAACACCAAGTCCAGGTTTTATCGTTGATGGGTGGTGGTGGTGGGACAGGATGGGGGAAACAACCTGCTCCCTGCCACTCAGGGTCTTCCCAAACTCCTGAGACCTTGAACCCACTTCCCTGGCATTTCTTCCCTTTAGATGCCGTGTTTCTGTGTCTCCATCATATATATTCGTGGAGATATCACAGTGTGGAGCCTGAACAGAGATATAAGATCTGGGGCAGTGGTTCTCAACCTTCCTAATGCTGTGGCCCCTTCACAGTTCCTCACGTGGTGGTGACCGCAACTGTAAAATTATTTTGTTGGTGCTTCATCACTGTAATTTTGATACTGTTGTGAATAGTAACGTAAATATTTGATCTGCAGGATATTTGATAGGCTACTCCCAAAGGGGCCGTGATAGATAGATAGATAGATAGATAGATAGATAGATAGATAGATAGATAGATAGATAACTGCTTTTTTAGAGATCAGAGAGGAGCTTGAGATGGTCTGTGCTTGTTGGGTTTCCCCTCATTTGAAGGCTCACCTTTTCCCGGTTGCTTTTGCCTTGTCCTCACCTGGCTTTTGATACAGATGGCACGTGGGCTCTTGGGGACCTTGCTCAGCTACCTGTGGCGTTGGAATTCAGACCCGAGATGTACACTGCCTGCACCCTGAGGACTCCGCAGCCCCTCTGGAGGAATGCCGAGATGAGAAACCTCACGCCTTACGCGCATGCAGTCAGTTCGATTGCCCGCCTGGCTGGCACATTGAAGAGTGGCAGCAGGTACAGAAGCCTGGCAACCCATGGCCCCTTTTCCTTACGGCAATGGCGGGAGTCCTGCTCTGCATCAGCGAAAAGTAAGACCACCACGTCACAGTCTCTTTCCTTAGTGTTCCAGGACGTGCGGCGGGGGGACGCAGAACCGGAGAGTCGCCTGTCGACAGCTGCTAACGGACGGAAGCTTCTTGAGTTTGTCAGACGAGTTGTGCCAGGGGCCCAAGGCCTCCTCTCGTAAGTCCTGCGCCAGGACGGACTGCCCTCCACAGCTGACTGCAGGAGACTGGTCAAAGGTAAGAGCTATTCTTAACCGCTTCCTCTCTGCTTCTCCTTTGTTTCAGCTGCTAAATATTTCCCGAAGAGGTTCAGACTAGCGCTAGTGAGAAACTGGCACAAAGCCAGGTCAAGGTCATTCAGAAGTCAGTTGTGAGCCTGGTGTGCACGTGCGCGTGGAGGACAGTCTCCTGCTCAGTCTCACTCTTGCTCACTCTCTTGCTCTGTCTCTCCATGTTCTGATGATAAGCCCTACTGCCGAAGACATGACTTGTGTCCTGGAAGATGGAGAGATTGAGTGGTAACCAACTAAAAGCTTCACCCCAACTGACTAGCATCCATGGTGCTGGAAGGTGCTTTGCATGCTACTGAAGAAGAAAAGTAATCATGGATGCCACCCAGTCACAAACCCTATGCTTGTGATCGAGACTTGCCGGCAAGGTATACTGGTGCAATAGTAGGACAAACCTTATGAGAGTAACCAACCACACCCCTTTGGATTTAAGGCTCACTCCATGAGATGGAGCCCAGACCTGACACGGCCAAGGTGGCTAAGAACCTGAGACTAGGTCGGTCATGGGCTTTAGGGAAAAGGCCTACAGCTATTATTATTTTTTTGTTAGTATGTTTTTCAAAACAGGGTTTCTCTGAGTCCTGGCTGTTCTGGAACTTGCTTTGTAGAACAGGCTGGCTTCAAACTCACAGAGATCCACCTGCCTCTACCTCCTGAGTACTGGGATTAATGAGGTGTGTGCCACCACCACCCAGCTACTACCATTATTCTGTTAAAAGAACATAGCAACAAAATGACATATTGTTATATCCATAGGTCATTGCTTCACTCAATCCTTATCAGGGAAGCTTCTTGCAGTAGATGGGAATTAACACAGAAAGCCATACCTTCACAATGTGCAGAGAGCAAGAGACTTTAAAGAACTCAGCCCTAACAGGATTGTCTATATTTTGAAATTTTATGCATATATATTAATAATTTTATATATGCATTAATAAGTATGTGTAATAAAAATTGTACAAAATGTGTCAAGTTAAAAAAATAAATAAAAGCCAAATAGAGTCAAATGTCGCTTCACAAGCAGTAACAGCAAAATAAGAAGTTCTTGTGATTAGAGAGACGGTACGCGTGCTGGACCAGATGGTATGAAATGGTTTGGAAAAGAACCACCAAGCAGGATGGATATGGCTTTCTAGAGTCACTGGTGGATATGGGAGGCAGGAAGCATAATGCCTCATTGGTGTTTGTCAACAACAAAATTAAAGGAACAGGCAAATATTGAGATAAAACGGAACCATTGACTTCTTTTAACCAATGTTTATGAGCAAATCATGGACTGTCATGTGCTAAGAAAATACAGCATGGAGGACAGCCTGCCCAGGTGCTAACTTAACTAAAGAACCCAAGAGGTAAGCAGACCAGTAACCAAAGACCCATGGGCCCCACATTTTTCCATGAGCACCCAACACAAGAAGACACGGAGCAGGATTTGAGAGACAGAAAGCTTGACTTTGAGTAGTCTCAGCATTGTGGTTATTCTTCATAAGGACAGGCAACAAGAGCAGATCAGAGGACCAGCTAATCTGCCTTCTTGATGAACTCCGAGGACCAAAAGGATCATTCATTCAATCTTCAATTTTTTTCAAAACTGAAAAAATGGTAAATTCATTTAAATATAAAATTAAATCAATTAGCCACTTCCAGTATGGAAGAGAATATAAATGCTGGAAGTCTTGGCATCATCTGAAGGACATAACGGAAGCTAACCACACATTTGGAGAGCAGCGGTAGAATACTGGAAGTGGCCTTACTTTTTTGCCTTGCTTAGTAGAAATCCCTAGATAGTCTCTTAAGTCAAACATACCGTTAAAATAACTACCCAAGTTTTATATTTCTTTAATCTTCTATAATAACTTCAGAGTATTCCTTTTGAAATTAATTATGGTTTTAAAAATCCCTGAACCTTCAACAGATCCTGTAATTTTATTCAGTTTTTCCCCAATACACTTAATAAATTGCATTAAAGCCTTAAATTAAAACTGCTCGTACCTTCGGTGATTATTACTGTTATCTTGTGTGTAGCAGTTTGGGTCATTCTTTAATGGACTCTTTCTGTATCAGTCAGCTTTGCTTCAGTACAGCAACACACCAAGCAATTAATTCATGAGGAGGAAAGATTTCTGTAGCTCAAAATTTGAGAAACTTCTAGGGCACTGTGGCTTGCGTCATTTGCCCCTGGAGAGTGTGTGTTTGCCTGTCTAGTCAGTTGGTGAGCTCTGGGCTCAGTGAGAGACATTGTCTCAAAAAATAAGGATCTCTACAAGCCCGTGCCCACATACACACAAACACACACTCACATATACGACACACAAAAAATTAAAATAAACGAGGCATGACTTCTAACGTCAAAAATGAAATCGTAAATTCTACAACAATAAATTACTGTCGGTTATTTGCTAAACTTGGAAGGAAGGGACAGAAAAATGGAGGAAAATAAGGAAAGGGGGAATTAATGAAAAGGAAGAGAAAAAGGAAAGGAGACGAGGGAGAAGGTGAGAGAAGATGCAGTGCGAAGCGCTTCACGAAGTGAAAATCAGCCCTGAAGTCCGCTGCCTCGGCGGGCCGTCCTACGCATGCTCTGTCCGCGGGTTGTCCTGCGCATCCTCAGTCTGACATAGTCCTACTCTCTTTGCAGTGCTCCGTCACTTGTGGCGTTGGATTCCAGAGACGAAAGCAGGTGTGTCAAAGGCTGACTGCCAAGGGCCGACGTGTCCCTCTCAGTGAGACGCTCTGCAGGGGCCTGCCGGGGCTCCCCCTCGTGAGAACTTGCCAGATGCCAGTGTGCAGCAGTAAGTGGGCGGCGGCAGCCATGCTTCAGCCTCTTCCTTTTCAGCCCTCAGCGTGTCTCAGTTCCGGGGTGAAGCAACCCAAGCAAGGCTCCAACTTGTTTTCAGCGGTGAATATTAGAATCGGGGAGACCTAGAGTTTTCTTTCAGGGAAGTCCACTTTAAGGAACGTCTGCTCAAGAGTATGCCTTATAGGGATTAAGCTGAATTGCTTCTTGGCTTACTTTGCCAGGAGTGTATCTGCATTTGCATTATTGAAAGCAGAAGAGCTGAGTAGTTGATAAAAGTTACTTTAATGGTTTTTATTCTGTATACATCAAAATCAGTACGCATAACAACACGCTTTAAGCAAACGGCAGATTGGCTATCTCGTCAATTGATTATAAATCATACGTTTGCTATGACATCAATAACATGCTTTCATCCTATTCAGAGGTATCCCGCGCGTTTGTGGGAGGATGTCGGTCTGTCTACACATTCGTGTGTATGTAGCATGTGGGAGGAGCATAGCCAGTGTGCTCAGGATTGTCACCACAGCAGCTGCGAGCAGATAGCAGAAAAGTGGCGATAAGGGGACCGTGGCGATAACGGCTTTGGGGGCCAGTTTCTGCTCTGCCTTTTATCGTCCTCACTCACGAGCTTGCCAGTAGTGAGGAAGAAACATCAGAGGTGAACTGTTGTCATTTTGCTGGTGCAGGTGTGCGCATGTGTCCCTAGTTTGTCGACAGCATTTCCCGGAGAAAGTCACCAAGCAAAGCATCAGGCTCGTTGAGCAGTAGTGATATTTGTTGATCGCCTTCCACGACGGAAAGCACCTTGCGTGTTTATCTCACTTATTGCCGCAGCAACGCTGAGAGGCAGGCAGTATCCTCATTTAGAGCCAAGGCATGCAAGACCGAGGCAAGCCCTGAGTTTTACCCAAGACTCCATGTCTGCCAATTGGCCCCTTCGGCCTGTTTGACCACAAGTCTGTCTGACTCTTGAGCCCACAATCTTAGCTGCTGCTCTCTGCTGATTCATGGACACTAACATTTCTGGGACTACTTTGAGAACATATTTTTGAAATCTTGACATCCTAAAACCCTGCGATTCCAAGTTTTAAAGCCTCTTGGAAATCAGGAATGTCTGCGGCAAATGGCTCGGCGTGGTGTTTGTCTGCATCACTTACCTACCTGATTTGTATCAGTGAGACTGGGCTGTAAAGTGCCTCCCAGGACAGAGAAATTAGTGTCACAACCAGCAGCCTCCTTGAAGTTAGACAGAATGCTATGTGGGGTGCGCTGTGGTCATCAGGGCCTGTGATGTACAGGATGGGATCCTAAATCGTTATGACATTCAGGAGAGAAGAATTTCACCAGCATTAGGGAGGAAAACAAAGCATTTTTCTTTACCCCACTATACTCCCTAGCCTACTGATGGTGCGGGCCATAGAAGCGATGGGAGAGAGAATACCCCTAATAGCCAGCCACCCTGAGCTGACCTTCAGTTCTGCCCCTGTCAGGTCTCAGGTCATCATCTCTGGTTGATGGTGCCTGTCTGGCCATGCTGTGATTGGCTCCCTCTGATCATTCATGGCCCATTCTCTCAGCAGAACTCCATCTTAAGCCAGGTGATGAGCAGGACACTCTCCCAGCATCCTGTCTCTGTTTCTTCTACCCTGCCCCTCCCCCACCACGTATGCCATCTTAACCATTCTCCTTAGACATTCCAAGGTTCACTAAATAGGTCTCCAAGATACTTTCTACTTTCCTATAGGGCACACCACCACGTCCTGTCTTCCTTACCAACATTTGCCAATACACAGGACAACCACGTTCCTTATTGATAACCTTTCTGATAAGTAATAACCCCATTTCCAACCTCAACAGTTTTTCCATGCCGTCACCATGGCCGGGTGGCACCCAAGCCTCCTGCTGTTCTGCCTTATTTGGTTAATGTCTCACTGTGACCTCTGGAGCTTCTAGACATCCCTATTATTTCCCAGCCTTCTGCTCCTGAACTAGAAACCAGTCCACTTAGCTGGCTTTTCTAGTCATCCACTTAATCAACTCTGTTGCCAGGGCAACCCACACCCTTAGCTAACATCTCTGAGTTTTGCAGTTTGCGCCTGGCCCCCTCTGTAGACTTCTAGGCAGTTCTTCATGGTTTTCAGGACAGCCTTGTGAGGCAGCTACAACCACTATTTCTTTAAGAAGAAGATGAATGTTATAAGTTGCAAGGGTCACATAGTGAGATATGGGGAGGACCTGGACTCTGAACTCAGCTGAGTTACTCCTGCCGACATTGGTTACCTTTCAGACATAAGTGCAACTGAGAAGAACTTAGTAGTGTGTGGGTAAGAACCCCAAAGAGAAGGCGATGGATTTGTCACTAGGGGTCACTGGTGGCCTTTTCCTTAGAACATTAGTGTGCTGATAGGAACAGAACTCAGGCTGGCGTTGGTTAACAGTAAAACAGAAGCAAGAAAGGAGGAGCTTTTTTTTCAGACTGATTTGGGCCATACCATGGTTATGGGGTCTCAGGAGCATCTTAACTCATTTAGCAAGTCCCACCCACAGCATCTCTGCAGCCTCTCACCCGTAGCCCTCAAAGAAGCCTGACAAGCATCCAGAAACTAACTCCTCACATTCTTGACATGAATTCAAATGAGCTTGTCTTGCTGGGTCCCTGTGCTTAGTGGAAGGAGAGGTAACCAGCAACAGCCAAATGACCAAACTGAAGTCCAGAGTCTGATGATTTCAGCATGGTAATAGGAAGGCTGTCAGGGCTGGGTCTTGATCAAAGCCCATTAAGAAGTGTCAAGAGTCAAATGCTGGAGGAAGCAAGTGTAAATTGCAGCCAGGATGGCATGGGGCAGAAATCCAGCATGCTTCTAGGGCTTAGAGTAACGGCAGGGGTACAACAAAGAGAGACAGGACAGGTATGCTAGGCACTGAAGCAAGGGCTGTAAATGTCGTCTGACACCTGGGGTTGGCCTCTAAGTCAGAGCCAGAAGAAAGACATGTAGAAGAAAGGGTTTCATATTTTACAAAAGCCAGAGATGTGGTACCTCTCATACCCTGCAATAGTGGGAGAGGTAGGATGATGGGCTGGCACCATCATGTAGCCCAGAAGTCCCTCCAAAAAGATGCCGTCCATTCCTGAGCATTCTATAGGGTAGATGTTGACGTCTTGTTCTCATCAGGCGTGGCCAGAGTTACAATGCTGGGATAGTTCCGGATATAAGAGAGACAGAAAACTTAAACCAGATCAGTTTTCCCCATCCCCCAAAATCTGGTTCAATGATACCACACTCTCTGCTCTGAAGGGATTCTCGGGAGAACCAAAGGGGAAATTGGCTAAAGATATGGAGCCTAGCAGCCTTTCAAGTCTCATGGGTGTCTGCTTGCAGGATAATCTCAATCCACACCCTGCCCCACTACTATCAGATCTGCTCTCTACCCTCAGTGTGACCAACTGCCAAGGCTGGGAAGGGGATGAGTGGGGACATAAGGTTTGCCTCCTATGAATGGGCATGTGTCCAGGGGGAATCCGGGTTTCATGGCTGGCCTTGGAAGGAATCAGGTGCTATCAACTCTAAGCTTGGATGAGGGACATCTTGAAGGCCACTGGTAGGCCCAGGTCCATACCACTCTTCTATTGTCTCCAACCTGAGTCATTCAACTAGACAGTTCCCTGTACAGGGTTCTATGCCATACTAGTTGTTCCTTGCATAGAGAACTTTACTGTCCTGAAAGAATCTTTCTTTGCACTTTACACCACTGCGTGAATCCCCATCTTGGACTTGGCACTGTTCTTAAAGACTGAGCTTCAAAGCTATCCGTTGCCCGTGCGTCCTTCCCACAGCCCACTTCTGAGAAACCTGATGACAGACAAGTATGACTTAATAAGCAAAGTGCTGTGATCCCTGATGCTAAGGTCAGACATGCATGCTCCCACCGTCATAGGAAGGGACATGTGTGTGGCAGAGACTTGAGCAGGATGCTCACGGACAATATGGACACTCTTATTTCCCCTCCCTTCTCACCAGTAGCAGCTCATCACTGTCACCAAATAGAAGAAACTGGACCAAGAATGCCTTTTTTCAGCTATGTTAGCCTAATCCAGTGGTTTGTTCAAGGGCGACCATCCTCAAACTAGCTGAGCATTTCAGTCAGCGGAGGAACTTTCTAAACCCCTGGTGTCTTAAGTGCAAGTCATACATTAGAATGTCTGGGAGTCGAAACAAGAGCTCACCCTGTGGCCTGCCCAGGAACCAACATATATTATCAAACGGTAACCTGGCTTCCTCCCACGTCACTCCAGAATACATGAGTTCTCATGCAAAAAAAAAACAAGGACAAAAGCTGGTGCCTTATGGGACAAGTGAGAGGGATTCAAGCTGGGGCTGAGCTTCATTTGTACCCATTGAGTCTAGATGACAGGTTGGGACAAAGAATTATTTACCTCCAATCCTGTCCCATAAGGTATCAGCTTCCCTCTTCCCAGCATTCTCGTTGCCCTGCCTCTACTTCCTGCCTGGTCGCCCCACCTATACTTCCTGCCTGGCTACTGGCCAATCAGCGTTGTATTAAAAATAATACAAGTGTCAGGATAAAAGACCATTGTCCTACTGCAGAGACTTGTACCCAAACACTGGGAACTAGTCAAGCCATTACTCCCCTGTAGCAAAGAACAAACCTCTCTCAACTATAGAAGAACCTTTTACTCTGTTTCACTGAATCATTTAACCTCATGCCTGCCAAACCAGGGCTTCATAAAATAACTTACGTATTCTCAAGGGACATGGTCAAACTTGCACGCATCCTTGCTTAGGTACTAGATGACTGTGAAGTTTATCCAAGTATGGGTGTAAGACATTTTTCTTGTTTTAATTCACATATTTCTAGAGAATTTTAACAAAAGATATCTTAGTAGGCCTAGATCAATCAGCTTCAGAAATTCTCTGTCAATGACCTTTACTTGTAAGTGATTTCTCTCAATCTCTTTACTTTTTTTTTCCCCTGCAGAAGTGAAAGTTGGGACAAAGTCACGACACAGAGAGCAGGGCCCCCAGATTCTCGGTGTCCGGAGAGTCTATATTCAGACGAGGGAGGAGAAGCGGATCAACTTGACCATCGGCAGTAGAGCCTACTTGCTGCTCAACACATCTGTGCTCATCAAATGCCCAGTAAGACGCTTCCAGAAATCTCTGATCCAGTGGGAGAAGGACGGGCATTGTCTGCAGAACTCCAAGCAGCTTGGCATCACCAAGTCGGGCTCCCTGAAAATCCACAGTCTTGCAGCCCCTGACATTGGCGTGTACAGGTGCATCGCAGGCTCCGCGCAGGACACGGTTGTCCTCAAGCTCATCGGGACCGACAACAGACTCATTGCACACCCATCCCTCAGAGAGCACACGCGGGGCCGCTCTGGGGTGGACCGCGAGGAAGCCAATAGTTTGGGAGCCACGTGGCATAAAATGCGTCAGATGTGGAACAGCAAAAATGAGCTTGACCTGCACGATGGGGAAATGGACAACCAGCCGTTCTTGAGAGCTCTGTTCGGGCCATGCAGGACCTCTGCGGGGAGCAGCAACTCCTGGGAGCTTAAGAACAAGCAGTTTGAGGCAGCTATGAAACAGGGAGCGTACAGCATGGACGCAGCCCAGTTTGATGAGCTAATAAGAAACATGAGCCAGCTTATGGAGACGGGAGAGGCCAACGATGACCTCGCCTCCCAGATGATCTATCAGCTGGTTGCTGAGTTGGCTAAGGCTCAGCCGATGCCTGTCCAGAGGAGAGGTATCCACGAGGAGGCTCAGCTCGGAGGGGAGACCGCAAGAGCTCCCCAAAGCCCCACAGTAGCGAACTCAGGCAAGCTGACTTTTAAGCCAAAAGGACCTGTCCTCATGAGGCAAACCCTACCCCCTTCGGTTTCATTTAACAAAACAGTAAATGCAAGGATTGGGAATACAGTGTACATCACGAAGAGCACGGAGGTCATCAATATACTTTGCAATCTTATTGCTCCCAGCAGTGAGGCCACGTATACATGGACCAAGGATGGAGCCTTGCTGCAGCCGTCTGCGAAGTGAGTCAGCTCAGAACACAGTGTCTCCTTGATAGTTCCTGATTGTGGCCTAGTCTAGTTTTCTCGGAAACATTTTCACATTTCTCCTCCTTACAAAAAAAAAAGGGGCTCCCTCCCATTGTCCTTTATCTGCCTAGCCAGTTTACTTCTTTTGTCATGGTTGTGCAGGTGAGCATGTGCGCATGCATGCGTGTGTACGTGCGTGTATGCGTGTGTGTGTGCATGTGTGTCTGTGTGTACATGTGTGTGTGTGTGAGAGAGAGACTTTATGTACCTATACACAATCTAGGAACAACAAATAGGAAAAGGAAAACCAGGGATATTTGCCTTTCTGAGACTAACTTAATTCACTTAGCATTGTTAGAGTGATAAAGGCCCATCAAGGAAAAATTCCTGGTCAACAGGCCATTGTCCTCAGTGGAGACCTAGCATTCAAGTTTGATATGTCAGTCACCTAACATAGGGACTATCCCTCAAGGAAGAGAGGCTGACCTTAGCAGGCCAGGCTCAGCTCAAGCCATGCTAAAGAGATAGGTGGACTAATAGCTTAAGTGGGTACTTTACTTTTCCTTCCCAGAATTCCTGCCCTCTTGGGCAGTTTCATAAACCACAGTGTGGTTGATGAGGTTCTAGGTCTGGCTCAGAAAGATGGAACCTTTTTTCTTTTTGTTTCATACCCTATCTCTTTCAGATGCTAGCCAGAACCAAAAACCTTTTGTGTTTTGTTTTGTTTTGCTTGTTTGTTTTGTTTTATGTTCCCTGATAGTTTGGGTGTCTTTGCTCTTTTTCCAAAGCCCCCATCTCTGCCACATGACTGCCCCATTCAGCTTGAATCTGACATCTGCATCTGTTCAATCAGGTGACATGGAGTTTGCTTCTCTCTGCCCTTCTCTTCCAGGAAGCTGCTGGGATGTATAGCTTGTCTTCCATTGGTTTGCTTTAAAAACAAAAACAAAACTAATAAAATCAAAATAGAAGCCAGTAAGTCCACATCCCAGCCTGTTGTAAGTGCTCTCTGATCTAATGCAAGAGGAAAGCATTCTCTAGTCTTCCATATATGCAGTTTCTTCCTTGAGGCAGGGGGCTGGACCTGATTGCCTTTCAAGCCCCACACGGGACCAGAGCCTATAAGTTTGCGTTCTCCGTTCTCCATAACCTGCGATGGCCGCACAGCCATTATGTCTGCTACTTGAGTATATCCTCATTCTAACTCTTTTACAGGATCGTTTTGGATGAAACTGGGAAGATACAGATAAGAAACCCTACAAGGAGAGAGCAAGGGATATATGAATGTTCCGTAGCTGATCGTCTCGGCTCAGATGTGGAGAGTTCATTGGTGTTATACGCAGGTAATGCTCACGGGCAAAGTCTAGAGTGACCGGGGTCTCGTTGTTGCTTTGTGTGTCGTCTGAAATGCTTTAAAAGATGGCTTTCTAAAACCGGAGTCTGTATCGCAATGGCACGGGTGTTATTTAAGCACCAGTTGCTAGGTGCTGCCTAAGGCGTTGCCTTAGTAGGCATTGGGGATTAGAACCCAGTTTGGTCTCCTAGATGCTAAGCTTGGTGGTACACACTTGTCATCCACAAGCTGAGAAAGGTGAATGAATCCGCTGGTGTTGAAAGTGTCCTGAGTCCAAATGACTTCAGGATGGCTCCTTCCCAAGGCAGCATCTGCAGGCCAGTGGTTCTCAACCTTCCTACTGCTGCAACCCTTTAATGCAGCTCCTCATGTAGTAACCCCCCAACCATAAAATTATTTTGTTGCACTTCATAATTGTAATTTTGCTACTATCATGAAGCATAATGCAAATACTCATATTTTCTAATTGGCTTAGGAAACCCCTGGGAAAGGGTTGTTTGACCCCCAAAGGGGTTGCAACCTGCAGGTTAAGAACCCCTGCTTCAGGCCTCTGTTCTCTCCTGGACTGTTGTGCCTGAAACCGTTCGCTCCTTTGAAGCAAGCACAAAGTGTGGTAGTTCCTGGAGCGGATAGGTGACCCCCTCCTCTACCAGTGCTCCTAAGTCCATCCCCAGATAACCTAGACTCCTGATGGAGCTAATGTGAGGGCCTCATGATCCAGAGGATGAGCTGTAACAAATGAAGATCCCTTCCACCCCAAGAGTTCCCAGCACCCTCCCTCGGGATGGTTTTCCCCTACCCCAGGCATTCCAAAAAAGAATGGAGCTTTTGGTCGTCCAGGCTTCTTGAGAACAAGAGTACACGTGCTCAGTCTCATTGTCCACGTCACAGAAATTCTGCACATAGGTGGTCAAAGCATGTGTCCTGACTGAGCTAATGAATGAATCCATTCATTGTCCAGTTTCAAGGAGTAAATGTCCTTGAATGAATTCCTGACTCTGCCTTTGTCTTAATTATTTCTTCAATACAATTTTGATGTGGCTGTTTGTTTCACATTGACTAAAATGCCAAATTCTGACTTCTCCTCCAAACCGTGCTAATCCACTTGAGATAGCTTCATATGATTTCATAAATGAGGAATTTCTGCAGAGTAGAGATGTGTGAGAAGAGTTTTAAGAAGCCCCCCCCCAATAAGTGGACATGACTTTATTCAGATAGTGTGAACAGGGGAGACTCTGAGCCACACTGACTCTGACCTCTACAGGGTTGAAGGACTATGAGCTCACTCAGTACTTTGAGATTCCTATGAGAGCCCAGCAGAAAAACACTTTGTACATGTTTATGGTTAAGAGAAAGTTCACAAGAGTTGTGAGCTCCTGCTTAGCTGGTCTTTCCCAGTGCAGTGTTGAGTGAGCCCTGAACCCAATATTTTTTCTGTGATTGACAAGTCAGCTTGTCTCTGGCCCTAAAAGAAACTGTACATGGGTTTTGTTTTTGTTTTTAGAATCTATATTGTTGTTGAAATGTCTGATTGCATCACCTGGTGCTTGGGCAGGCTTTGTTATTATTGATGTCTTGGTGCAGCTGAGCAGAGAGCACAGCGAGGTGCTTTGGACATGATGGCTGAGCTTTGACTTACTCTAACATTAGTGGGAGAGACCCTGGAGAGCCTTCTACATCCAGGATAACACCTACTAAGGGCAATAGGATAGATCAAGATCCATTGCCCTACCTCACACCCAGCCTTCCATGAAGTATCAAATGGTCACAGTCCCTGGTGTTTTAGGCCTGCACCAACTCATCTGAGGCTGCACACGAGAGATGCTATTCTGCCCTGCGGTTTTGCATCTTGTGAACTGAGTCTTTGTAAAATTACCAAGAAGGAGTTAACCTTTATTTTGGTTATGAATGTAAAATATCTTCACTTTATACTTGATAGTTGCAATCTACCTACCAGCCACCCATCCATCCTCCTATCCATCCATCCACCCACACATCCATCCACCTTCCCACCCACCATACATACATTCATACATACATGTATCCATGTATCCATCCATCCATTCATCCATCCACCTTCCCTCCCATCCACCCATCATCTCTGCACTGAGTACCCCTAGCCGTGCGTGTGTTTGTCTCTGTGCACCACGGGAGTTAAAGAGACCAGCACTCTTCCCTGCTTTCAGCAAATCGATGATGCTTGTCAGTAAACAAGAGCTTAAACCTAACATAGTTTCTGCTCCCTTTGAATTAAGAGGCACCTGTCATCTTGTCTGTTGAAAGAAATGTCACCAAACCAGAGCACAGCCGTCTGTCTGTTGTGGTGGGAGGCACTGTGGAGGCTGCCCTTCAGGCCACTGTGACAATCCACTGTCCTGTAAAAGGTAAGTATTATCATTTCCAGTGGGAAGTCATTTGGCCAACAATAGCCAGAAGGTGACCGCTGGCATTTCAGTGCTCCATCCATCATCCTGATGAGTTCACATTCTAGGACTCTCCCACACATCTGATTCTCAGAAGTGAGCTCACACCAGATCATAAGACTGATGCTGGGGACTGGGGAAGTAGCTCAATCAGTAAAGTCTTTGCTCTGCAAACATGAGGACCTAAGTTCAGACCTAAAGCATGCGCACAACAATAAAAAAGAAAGGTGGCCACAGTAGCATGTGCCTGTAACCCCAGCTCTGTGGAGTAGGATGCAGAAACAGGTGGATCCCTAGAGTTTGCTAGCCAGTTAGATCTTACTAATCAGTGAGAGACCCTGTCTCAAAAGACAAGGTGAAGAGTGATAAAGACAGCGCCCAATGTTGACCTCTGGCCTGGTCATACATAAGCTCCTACATGCTCATGTCCAAACACACTAGCATGTTCTTATCTATGTGCCTGCCTGCCTATCTATCTATCTATCTATCTATCTATCTATCTATCTATCTATCTATCTATTTCTCTCTCTCTCTCTCTCTCTCTCTCTCTCTCTCTCTCTCTCTCTCTCTGTCTCTCATACATACATTCCATACATTCACACACACACACACACACACACACACACACACACACACACGGTGGGGAGAGAGAGAGGGAGGATTAAAACCGGATTGCCACTTTGTCCCCGCTGTGGGCTGTGGACACACACACACACACACACACACACACACTGGAATCTTCATCCTGGGAAAGCCAGAGCACTGTGTGTGGGCAGATCTTTAATAAAGAGAAATTTTCAGCACTGAGGTTGTGTGGTGACTGTGGAGTCTGAGAAAACAGATTTTTTTGGAAATTGCTAGATAGGTCTTCCTGCTATGCACTGGCCTTGGCAAAGCCAGGCCTAAGACTGGGAACGCCAGTATTGTCTACTCAGACTTAGTCCTGAACCGTCCATGAGTGGGGCTCAGCAGCCTGTGTGTCGGTGGCTTTCCCCACTGTGTTTGCTAATACAAGCTCGACCCCTTTATAAAAGACTGTGTATGTGCAGTGCTAGCGATGGACCCTCACCCTCGGGCCTTTCTCATGGAAGGCATGTGTTTCCCCACCAAGTTCTACCCACAGTCCTCCAGACACATTCTTTCTTTAATAGGAGTAAAACTTTCAGCCTCTGCCTGAACAGGGACTATTTTGCCACTCAAAGCAGACATTCTTCAGTTTTAACCTGGACTGTAGAGTCCCCAGGATGTATACAGACAATATATTCTGTACCCTTCTATATTTTACAGGTGTAAAGGGATGGACTGTTGTGTGAGTCACTTCCTTAGAGAGACACATAAATACCAAATAGAGTCTACCAATTCAAAAGGAATTTCTGTAAGCCCTTAATTTACTGTGCATTGACTTAGCTATCTGAACAAGTATATCCCCCAGTTTCCAAGGATTAATAAGACACCCCAGGATTTGTAGCCGTGTTTGATGTCCTCTGATGGTGACCCATCCAATGGAGTGTGACTTTGACTCTTTCACTGAGGATTTACCTCTCTTAGGGTCTCTATCACTGTGGAGAGATACCATGAGCACAGCAGCTTTTTTATAAAGGAAAACATTGAACTGGGGCTGGCTTACTGTTTCAGAGGTTTAGGCCATTATCATTATGACGAGACACGGTGGTGAGCAGGAGGAGCTGAGAGTTCAACAGCGTGATCCTCAGGCCGCAGCAGGAGACCGTGCTGTGTGCCACACTGGCCAGACTGGAGCTTATAAGACCTCAAAGCCCACTCCCCACAGTGACACACCTCTTTCAACAATGCCACATCTACTCTAACAAGGCCACACCTGGTATTAGTACTAATCCCTATGGACCAAGCATTCAAACACAAGAATCTATAGGGGCCATAAGTATTCAAACCACCACAGGAATTGTGGGAAAGTGTTTATTCATCCCTTATAATATGGGCACCAACCACAGATTTTAAAAAAAAATCCAAATCTAGTGTGAGTTTAAATCAATGAGTTTCTTGGTGGTCAGATACAGGATCATAAAATACTCAAGCGGTTACATCACCGAGAAGCCCATCCCTGCATGACTGACCATTCACCGAAGCTACAGCCACAAAGCTCTCTGCAAACCTTGTCGGCAGCTCTACCAGAGTCTCCTCTGCTCTAGCAACTGCTTCCTGCTGATGCGACCTTGGGGAGGAGCCTTTGCTTTTTTTTTTTTACCTTTTGTCCTGTCCAGAGTCTTGTAACTTCAGCTAACTTCCTGGATTGTATGAGCTGGCCCTCTCTTCTCTGCCAGAGGTAATGGATCCAGGAGAACCAGTTACAAGATGCAGAGTGCCGGCAGGGGCCTCTGAGGCTGCCCAATAGCACCTAAAGATGGGTGTCATGAAAGGGCTGGGGTCACAGTCACCCAGCTCCCTGCCCCCTAATGGTCTCCTACTTGCTCTGCTTCCAAAAGCACACCTTTGGCTCCATGCGCCTTGGAAATTTGCTACCCTCCAAGGTATTTGCTTTCAACCCCTGGCAGTCCTTGCGCTGTTTGGCCTATGCAGACTTTTGACAGATCGCCCAGGCTCCCAACTGGCTCCACCCACAAATATGTGAATTTTCTGGCAAAAATGGACCTACCATTACAGAACGGTCCAGCGTTCTCTAGCCGGGGCAAGGAGGAAAGCAGAACAGAGCTGTTGGGATGCCAAGCCACAGCCTTCTCCAATTTCTGTAGCCCCCCACCTGCAGAGGATTCTGAAAAGTAGATGTGACTTCTATTAAGAGAAACCTCCGTTTTTAAGGTTTCTTTTTAAATTTTAACTTCCCGATCGTTTAAAATCAAATGGCGGGGTGGGGTTGGGGTGTCAGCCAAAGGCTTGCGGCCCGTTATTTGCCGTCTGAAGTCAGGGACTAGAGGCAGTGGGAACCGTTTTCACAAACAAAGACCTCGGAGAAGACCCTTAAAAACTCAGCCCAGGTCTGGTTTCTTATCCAGTCATGCAAAATATAAACTGATCCCTTCCTGCCCTGTGTGTTATACTGCTGGAGGGCGGGGCGGTCTCCTCCAGTGGGTGGGCCTGCCTCGTCTTTCTGCTCTCCTTCCTCCTCCTCCTCCTCTCCAGGGAAGCTGAGAGTCGGGAGTATTCACCTATCCCCACCATCCATCTTTTCTAGAAACAGTCCCTTCGATCTTTAGAGCTTTGTGGGTCCTGGGAGAGTTAAAGGGTACAGTTAACTCACCAAGCGTCTGTGCTGGGTCCCACACTGGCCAGAGCTTCATTCGCTTGCCTCCCTCTGTTACAGGAACTTCTCAGAAAGCCAGAGGACTAAGAGCAGTGTGGTACTGACAGGGGACTGGCAGCAAGTGAAAGAGAACGCAGACTCCACGGCAGATTAGAATAGATAGGAAAACCCAGGAGCAGGACAGAGTCGAAAGGCAAATTGCCAAGTAAATGGTCAAAACCTCTACCCAGAATGATTCTGGTTACATGTCTAAAATCTGAATAAATTAATTCTTCAGTTAAGATACAGGAGATACGTTTGATATCTGGGAATGATGGAAATCCCTAGAAGTGCAAATTAGAGTAAAATGCCTGTTGCATGGAGCCAATCAGAGAATCCGATGACTGGTATTTGAACTTCAGCATTCTATAGTTTTAAAGGTTGAATTTCCTAATATGTGAATAATATTTTGATCAATTTTTCTGTTAACCTTTCAAGACATCGTCAACAAAATTTAAAAAGCTGTGTTTCTTGGAGAAAATATGTGTCGCACGCACGGTATCCACGATATGCAAATGATTACTATGCGTCACCTTAAGTACCAAATGCAACAGTAAGGCAGCCATAGGACCAACAGCTGTCAGAACTGATACCCTGAGCTTCGAAGGATTTGCAGTATTTCCAGTCTCATTGGTAATGAGATTAGGATATTGATGATACCCCTCTTGGACCTGTTACCTCGAAAAACTTCAAGAGTTTCGCATTACTGACGGTTGGCAAGAATATGGAAAGATAGAGCAGCAGGCGTGGTGGTCAGCCAGAATGTATGCTGGAAAACCTAATTGAGGGCGACTGGGACCTGAGATCCTCTGCGTAAGGTTTGCCCCCTGAGGCCAAGGGACAGTTGGCAGGGTGCCCCCCGCAGACCATTTGTCGTTGCAGGGACGAACGCAGAAGCATTCCTGCTCTGAGAGGAAGAGACAGTTTGTGGATAGAATGTTGATTCCAGCTACAAGCTTGCTTATTGTTTTAAAATGTCTACGACAGAGCAAAAACAGATCCAAATAACCCTTCATCTTGGATAATGGGCATGTGAGTGTAACTCACAGTACTCCCAGCCCTGCCTCTGCCTAGCTGTGAGACCTTGAGCCCCTAACGCTGTCTCCCTGGCCATTCGTTTTCTGTTACAGAATGACTCACTGGGGTGGGATGTCCTGAAGGAAATTTTATCCTGGGCCTTAGGTCCCTGGCAGAAATGTGGACCAAAAGGATAACAAAGGAAGGAAAAGTACTCAGGACACCTAGTTGGAACTTGGAACTGGGTGTCACTAGATCTCACCTGACATTGGAAATATCTGAGTAAAGAACCCAGGAGTATGGGGAAAACTCTTTCAGAATAGGTAGGTAGAAAGTCCTTCACCGAAACAAGTTTTGCAACAAAACTACTAGTCCATGAAGAACCCAATTTCCTATGTTATGATTTGAAAAATCTGGTTGTAATAAAAAGGAAAGAAACAAATAATGTAAGAATCTGTAGTTCATTGAAGTCAGAAGTTGATATATTTGGGAAGGAGTCTTTCATTTCTGTGAAAGCCGCTGTTTCAAACAAAATAACGTCCCAGAGGGGAATCGTCAGCAGGGAAGGGGGGATTGGATAGCCCTTGGGAGAAGTGTGTCATGCTTTGGTTGTGTCTCATGTCCTCCGAATGCACAGCTCCTCTGTGTGGACAGATGTCTAGATGCC